AGTGTCTTTGGAGATGCTTGAGGCTTTATCGTGATCTTGTATACCCACAGCGCCCGTTGTTAAAAGAAAGAGTTACTGTGACCCGGGACTAGCGGATCATCTTTCAATGACTAGCTTTATCTTGACATTATAAAAAAAAAGTGTCTTTGGAGATGCTTGAGGCTTTGAGTGCTCAGGGTAACAAAGCGCTATGAAAGTAAAAGTCCAGTTACTGTAGTTTCAATCTGGAGTTGCCCAATCTAGAGAAAGCACTAACTCCAGCTTTCCCACCAGAGAGGTGACATTCAATGTGCCAATAGCCAACTTAAAGAGCCTGCCAGGGCCTGTGCCTCTGACTGCCACCCAAAACACACTAGAATGCTTCCTGTGGGTGGAAAGCCCATCTGTGACTTCATACTTTTTTTTTTCTCCTTAAGCTTTCAACACACTTGCAAAAAGTCTCTTGATAGAAATGTCCATTTACATAAGAGATTGTTTTACCTGTGCTGGCTTTTTTCTGCCCCTCAGTAGCATTCCCTGTTTGTCATGTTTTTTTTCCTCCTTTTTGAAATATCCTGGTCTCAGGTCTTGTCAATCTTGCTTTTCTTTTCCTCCTTTGGAAAGACAGCCGAAAGCACTCGATGAAAAATAACCTATAGAGTCATACCACGTGTCACTGTGCCCTTATGTCTCACTTACACACTCTCACGGGACAAGATCTACACTTTCCAAACATATCCGACATGCTTGAGACAATCTAAAAAAAGCAAATTGTGAGGTCAGGATTCCAATCCGAAAAACATCTATCTGTAGAGTATGAGCAGTTTCAACCATAAATGCTACCAACAATCGCGCTCTGACAGTAGCTTAGAATGTGCATAGCCCCCACTTATGCGTCGACAAAACAAAATGCTTCAGCAAGAGTGAGGGACTAGAAAGAGAGAGCATATTTCTCCTGTTTTGGCTTCCCTTCATTGGCTTCCTGTTAAATCCAGAATTGAATTCAAAATCCTGCTCCTCACATACAAGGTCTTAAATAATCAGGCCCCATCTTATCTTAATGACCTTGTAGTACCATATCACCCTATTAGAGCACTTCGCTCTCGCTCTGCAGGCCTACTTGTTGTTCCTAGAGTATTTAAAAGTAGAATGGGAGGCAGAGCCTTCAGTTTTCAGGCCCCTCTTCTGTGGAACCAGCTTCCAGTTTGGATTCAGGAGACAGACACTATCTCTACTTTCAAGATTAGGCTTAAAACTTTCCTTTTTGCTAAAGCATATAGTTAGGGCTGGACCAGGTGACCCTGAATCCTCCCTTAGTTATGCTGCAATAGACGTAGGCTGCCGGAGGATTCCCATGATGCATTGAGTTTTTCCTTTCAGGTGGCTGTAGCTCAGGTGGTAGAGCAGGTCATCTACTGATCGGAAGGTTGGTGGTTCGATTCCCGGCTTCCCCTAGTCTGCATGCCAAATATCCTTGGGCAAGATACTAACCCGAAATTGCTCTCCGATGCATTCATCGGAGTATGAATGTGTGTGAATGTCAGTTGTGCTTGTGCGAATGGGTGTGAATGGGTGAATGCACAAGTTGTGTAAAGCGCTTTGAGTGCTCAGAAGAGTGGAAAAGCGCTATATAAGAACTACTCCATTTACCATTTCCAGTCACCTTTCTCACTCACTATGTATTAACAGACCTCTCTGCATTGAATCATATCTGTTATTAACCTCTGTCTCTCTTCCACAGCATGTCTTTTATCCTGTCTTCCTTCTCTCACCCCAACCGGTCGCAGCAGATGGCCGCCCCTCCCTGAGCCTGGTTCTGCCGGAGGTTTCTTCCTGTTAAAAGGGAGTTTTTCCTTCCCACTGTTGCCAAAGTGCTTGCTCATAGGGGGTCATATGATTGTTGGGTTTTTTTTCTCTGTATCTATGAAGCGCCTTGAGGCGACTTATGTTGTGATTTGGCGCTATATAAATAAAATTGAATTGAATTGAATTGAATTAATAATGCGTGATAGTTTGTCACTGACGCCAGTGACATTTCTCTGGTCCTTACTCAGATCTATGTTGGAGTTTTTGCTATTAAGAACACGACTTTCAGATTCTGATAATTTGCTGTAGATTGTGTTTAGACCTGTTGCTTATTGGTTTGTTTTCCATTTTTCAGCTAATAGCTCTTCGAGAATCACTTCGTTGGTACATAAATGCTATTTTATGGCTGTCAAACTGTGTTATCTCTGACATTTCCATAGATTCAACTAAAGAAATGGGAACAAATGTGTTCTTACACCAGGTCACTATGTGTAAACAGAACCCATGCAAACATGGAACATGCAAACTCCACACAGAAACTCTGCAGCCAGAATGCTGCTACTGCTAATATACTCATATCACTGCTCGATCATTATTCACAGGAAAAAACACGGAATTAAACGCAAACATCATCCTGGATCTGAACCCAGCTTAGTGTCCGTTAAGAGTGACCAGTCTAAAAAACGCTTGATTGAATTTAAGGAGCAACAACCCTCTGCTGCGGAGAGGTAAGCTGATAGTAACATGAACTCTTTGATACCTGTCAGTTTGGTGTCTGATTTAAATGAACTACTTGATGGTGTATACGCCCTCCTTTTTGGAAACAGCAAGAAACTAGAGATCATAGAGTCTCCCACGGTGCCTTTGCCCACACCTCAGAAACTACACTTCAACATCACAGCTGACATCAAAAAAGCAATTGAGGAGGCCAAACAAAGCATTGATAAGTGAGTACAAAAGCTACTGCTCAAGTTTTAGTTGCATAGCCCCACTGAAAACAAAAATCCATCCCCAGAGGAAAAACCCAAATAAACACGACTAAGGGTGTTTTCACACCTATAGTTCATTTAGTTCAAATCAGTAAATGAGTTTGTAAACTCTCGTGGTTTGGGTTGTTTTCATACAGAGAATAATCAAAGTATACTTCAAGCGCAGCAAAATGCGTCGTGTTCAGTTCATTGGCCAGATGTGTCTGGGGCAGAAGCAACAAAAGTAAACATCTGAAGAAGGTGCTGTAATCCTGGACTATTGGAGAACAGAGAATTTCCATTCATTACACAGCTAGTTGTAAGCCCCTGCAGACCTTTGCACATCCATAGTACTTTGCTACAATGAGAATGCAAATTGTATGTTGCTATGGGAAGTTTTTAGCTCAAACTTGAAATGTACACCTTTTAAAGTTTAGATTGGTCGGATCCACACCAGAGTGTGATCAAATGTTCACACATGCACAAATGAGTTTGATTTTAAATGGACTAAACAGACTAAACTTTGCTTCAAAGTAACTTTCAATGGAGCACAACTTTAAAACTAAAAGGTTTATAAATGAGCCCCCAGCTATAGACCGAGGCACATTGAAATGGAAAACCCTCTGTGGGCCATAATGTCATGAGGCCTCTGAGGAGGAAGAAAATAACCCCAGGTTTCTTTTCAACACTGTAGCTAGGCTGAGAGTCTGAAAAGAAATTTTTGATTCATATAATTTTAACCATTTAAAATAAATAACCATCCCTCAGATGTTACTTTATGTACAGGGTTCATTACTTTTTTTTTTTTCTCTATCCAAGCAACAAACATGACTGAGAGTGGACTCTCCGCTGTGCCTGTCCTGCTAGACCTCCGTGCAGCATTCGATATTACTGTAATATTTTATTACAGAGTTGAGCATGCCGTAGGAATTAAAGATGATGCACTGCAGTGGTTAGAACCATATCTGATGTCCATGTAAATGGGGAGTCTTCCTTACACACTAAGGTTAATTTATGGTGTTCCAGATAAATCTGTTCTGGGACCGCTTCTGTTTCACATTATACATGCTGTCCTTAGGCAGTGACATAAAAAAAAAAACAACGGCATATTGGCTTATCTTTAGCTCTCTGTTAAATCCAGTATCCAAGTTAAAATCCTGCTCATACAAGTTCTTGAATATTCAGGCTCCATCTTATCTTAATGACCTTATGGTACTGTATCACCCCATTAGCACTTGTTACTCTCAGAGTGCAGACTTACTCGTTTTCTAGGATATTTAAAAGTAGAATGTGAGGCAGAGCATTCAGCTTTCAGGCCCCCTTTCTGTGGAACCAGCTTCCAGTTTGTATTCAGGAGACAGAAACCATCTTTACTTTTAAAATTAAGATTAGGCTTAAAGCTTTCCTGTTTGATAAAGCATACAGGTAGGACTAGATCAGGTGACCCTGAATCTTTCTTTAGTTACACTGAAATAGGTGTAGGTTGCTGGGGCTTCCCATGATGCACTGATGTGAGTAAGGAAGACACTTTTCATTCTGCATTTGATCATTAGTTACTGTTTTATACATTGTGTGTTGTCCTGCCTCCCTTCATTGGTGCCACCTCTCCCAGTGTCCTGATTCTGAAAAGAGAAATTGCAGTGCAAAACTCCATAGTTCATTACCTCCATTCTCCATACTTAACAAGGCATATATTAGAACACACATGCATCAACATACAATGAGCGGGTGGAGGGAGGTTTGGAGTCTTCTCTCACCCCCGTTCTCTGCGACCTGCTGGAGCGGGGGGGCTAGGAGGAGGAGTTGGCCGTCCGACTGCGGTCTGGAGTGTGGGCCTCTCCTGCTGCTGCGGAGTCGGGGCGGTCTGCCTCCCCCCACCGCAGGGAAAAGGGAAACACCACCTGGGTCTGGGTGCAGTTCCCCCCTCCAGGGGCGGGTCACCTAGACCCGGTTTGTAGAGTACGCTTGGGGAGTGTGATCGTGTGTACACGTCTCTTTATGTCTGTCTCCACGTTGGTTGAGTGTGGAGTGAAGTGCATATGAGAGCATGAGGGTGGGAATGGATGTTTGTGTCTGTGTGTGCCTGTATGTCTGTGTCTATATGTCAGGTTGGGTGTCAGGCGCCACCTCTCTGGGGACATCTCAGGCCCTCCAAGGTTTGGAGGCCTATCTCCCCCTACCACCACTTCCCCTGCCAGTGGCGGACCCCTCAGACATCGGTGCGTTGGTGGTTCTTTGTGTCCGGGGATGGAGCGTCCAGGTACACACCGGCTCACTCCTTGGCGGCCGCTTATCGGGGCCTGGAGCCTGGGGCTCGCTCGGGCCACTTCGGAGGTGGGGTGCCCCCGGCCTCTCGGCCTGGGGCTCGGTCACTCAGGCGCAGCTGGCTGCCGGCGGAGCTCACGGGCGCGTCACTGCAACTCCCCCTGGCTTCTGCTCCGCGGCTGCTGAGTGAGCCCTCATCTGGGACTCTCCTCAGCTCTTTCTCGGGACAGTGGCGCGGCTGCCCCTCTGTTGGTCTTCCTTGGTCTCTTGTGTTCTGGGGGCCTCTGGATGTCTGGAGTTTTGATCTCCTCCACACCTGCTCTCATCGCCCTGGAGGACGGGGCTGTGGCCCCCCCACACCCTCTAGCAGATCTATTACATGAAGGAACCTTTTAAAAAAAACAAAAACAAGCGCGTCCATGCTCACAGGTGTACACACGGGTGATCACACCCACAAACTACACCCTTTTTGGCTCCTACCTCAAAGCACACTGTGTTCTGTTGATCTTATGTGCTGCACAATAATGTTTAATATTTAGTATTTACTGTCATATTCCATATATCATTGTGATGTTGTTTATTCTATTACTCTTGTTCTCTTCTGCTTGCTTTCTTTTTTCTTTCTCAGCAGGTGATCCAGGTGATTGATATATGCATTTTTTTTCCTCTGCCCGTTTTGTTGGTTTTTGTCTTTTGCCCTTCTCCCCCGTCCCTCTTCTCAGCTGTTTCTCTTTCCCTCTTTCTTTCTCCCCTTCTTTCCCCCAGTCAAGTCTGTCCCGTATTCAGTAAGTGAAAATAAAATAAACAATAAAAGGTGAATCAAATGGACCATTACGGCAAGGCTGGGATGGTCATTTGGTAAAGTAAAATCCGTTGGGTATCTTTCTTTGCCTTTAGACAACAATTCTGATGGCAAAAGAGCCAAACGGGACAGGCCAAAAAAAACAAAAAACAAGGCATATATACATATTTTAATAGCAATACTTATAACAGGAGCATGCAATACACAAACACATCTGTTATCCTATCCTCTTCACAACAGAATCGTCCAAGACCTGGATTTCAGTATTCTCTCATTCAGCCACTATGGGAAAAACTTTCTAAAAGCAAACAAGATGAGTCCTGATCCTTTCATACAGATGGCTATACAGCTGGCCTACTACAGGTGAGTAATCTAAACCTTATGGAGATGTTTCTGTAGGCTGACTTTTTCTTGACCAAGTTAAGATGGAACAGACAATCCTAAACTCATTAACCGTAACAACCTGGGTTCACACTCATACAAAATGCTGTAGTCACAGATTTAACAATTTTTTTTCCTGCATAGACCTAATTGAGAGCAAAGCTTATTTAACATTCACATAAAATGTTGATCCTTATCAAAAGCACATGTATTTCTTTGTTAATCTATATGCCTAAACTTTATAGGCTGCTTAGTAATTAGATTGTTGCCAGCTGACCCTTCTGAAGGGCCTGACACAAGATTTTCATTACAACTGTTAAGCTGTAATGAAGTCATTTGTATGAGACTGGTGATGGTTGCAATTCTCAATTTGGAGAAGGTTTGGGCTGCACCAACAAAATGTTGAAGTTTTAAACTTGTCTGTTTATTAACCATGCATTGTAAAGATAAAGAATAAAAAAACAAATATTGTAGTGTGACTAGAACATAGCTTTGACTTGCACATCATTGACTTCTCTTATATTTTGTTTTTACACAGTATCCCAACATTTTTGGAATTGGGGTTTCATTTTGGAACACAGGTTGTTTAAAATATTTTTCTCCAATCTCTTGGCAGGGTGCACCTGCAGCACTGTGCATCTTATGAAGCTGCCTCAATGCGACTTTTCAGGCAGGGACGTGTAGGTGAAATCCCCTCAACTTCAAGTGCCTCAGTTGCCTTTGTCATGGCTTTTAATGACCCAAACAAGAAGGTATGGGGAGGGTGTGTGTGCAGGTATTTCACTCTAGGATTGTGGGTAGAGTTATTTTTCTTTGACACTGAATATAAAACTCAGTGCCACAGAAAATTATGTCAGAGTTCACAATACATCTGCTGTGGATGATTTCATTATGACTAATCAAATCAATCCCCATGAAGAATCTGAATGGGATTTTTTTTTTTTTTTTTTACCTGCAGAACACTCTGTTCTGTTGCCTACTTTTCTTTGGTGTCACTTCAGTATTTGAAGTAAGCTGACAGTTTCACTTATTTGCATGTTGCTGGTATGTAATGCTTTAGATTACAAACTTCTGTCATAAACACTACCTTGTTACAAGTGATGAATTGTAACTTGTAATCTTGTTGTACAGAACACAGAGAAAGTGGATCTTTTGAGGAAAGCTATAGAAGTGCACAAGTGGAACACTAGCATGGTGAGTTTTAATGACAAAACTGCTCAGTGCTTCAGTTTAGTGGCAGTCTGTTCCTGTTAAATGGGACAACAAAATGTTAACATTAACACGCACCACACTACAGTAAAAATCAGCTTACAAACTTTGCACCTCTAAATCCAGGCTGGGTAAACACAACGCCACTAACAAGCTCTGTATTTACATATCTTTCAGCTGTATTTAAAAATAACATCATTGTTGAGAGTGATGGAAGTCACACTGTTAGTCTGTATGAGCAGCTGTGTAGACTACAGAATGAGCTGTGCTGTTCCTATTGGCTGTTCCCATCACTCAGATCCTTTCCTGAAAGGGGCAGTGCAGCAGCCAGGTTGATTTAAAGAGACAGACACTGAAACAGATGATTGTTGCAGACATGGTACAAAAAATGCTGTCTGATATTTCTGGGAAACTTCAAATATGCTATAAATGTAAATTATGGGGACATGTGACACTCACATTAATATGACATCAATTGGCAATGAATAAAAGTGTAAAGTTTAAGACTTCTGTAAAGATACTGAACTCTACTCCACACTGATACCAACAAGGTAATAAATGCAGGAAAGAACGGCAAAGATGGGGGAAGAGAGGACATACTGTCATACTGATAGGCAGCAACAACTGCTCTTCTAAAATTATTTGATGGCCTTTCTCTTTAGTGCTGAATCCTCCAAGAGCAGAAAACTGACATTTTAAAAAAATAAATAAAACACCTTAAAAATCCCCACACTGCTTCTTTGTTTTGGCTTAGTTTTTCTGTAGTTTATCAGAGATTGTATTTACCTAACAATCTAGAATTATGACTAGATTGTAGTCTTCTCTATACAGCCATGGTAAAAACAAAGGATGGGTAACCTAAATAAATGGAGACTGTATAATTACAGAAAGCCTACGTTATCCCTTGTGTATCTGTAACTCTGCTTGCATCGACTTGAATCTGAGATCAGATGACCTTTTTCTTCAAAATGAAACTTTTCATCAAAATGTACCACCTGCATATGGGCCTAGGCAATGGACTTCAAAGAGGTATATCAGGAATGGCTACTTAGCTCTACATGTCCATGTTAGTATAATCTAGGCTTAAGAAGATGACCATAGGATATAAAACTATGGGGTACAAAAAACCCATGCAAACATGGATAAAAGAATCAGACCTTTTTGTTGCTGTTGTGCTGAGACTGTCTGAAAAATGCTGTGTAAGCACTCTACACGTCATGTTTAGTCCTGTGCAAACATTGTGAGTTGTCTTCTTTGTAATAGGAAATTAGTGGACAGACAGTCTTTGGGCACTTCCTGGGTCTACAGCACCAAGCAACTGAGAAAAATATTCCCATGCCGGACATCTTCACAGACGCCTCCTTTGATAAAGTTTTTGACTATCGACTTGCTACAAGTCAGGTGAGGAGCACAGCTGAAATTGAGCTGACAAAGTCTTAATAGTATTATATTACTAGAGACATAATCAAACTTCTGTCTGCCGCAAAAAATGGTTAATGTTACTCCAATTGGTATCTTTCCAAACTGATGAGGAGGGGACTCATTTATATTCTTTTGTTTAAATATTATTTTTGTTTTCAGCCTCAACTGATAGTTATGATGAACACAACACATCTATTAAGATCAAGGACACCCTTAGGCTATATGACATGGTATTAGCTGTGTTGCTAATGAGGTTTCAATCATTCTCACAAAGTGCATATCAAACAACTATATTGTTTAACACAATAATTAACCACTATGTCAAACTTTGTTCTACTTCACAAGGTGCAGTCCAAATCTGGTTGTCTCCCATGTGCTTGTCCTTATCAACGTAAAACGTATGATATATGCTATACTCTTTTGAAGGATGACATGGCTTTTGTGTTGTCAGCCTTCAAAACAAACACAGAAAATAATTCAGAAGAGCTGAAAAAAGCTGTGGAGGATGCACTGCTGGACATGAGGACCATACTGTGAAAACAAAGACATGAATAAAGTGGTGGCTTTTCACTTTTGTTGAATGCAACATTTGCTTGACCAACAGTGTTGGTCAAGCAAATGTTTATGCTGGTAAAAAGAAATGATCAGTTGTAGTCAATTGTAATCACTAATGAGAAGTTTATACAAGTTTGTACAACTTATTAAAAGATTTAAGTGAGTTATATATTTGAACCTGTATACATTTGATGCCAAGTGTTTGAATTCATTTTAGATTTTCTCTAACTTGTCCAGGCAATTCTGTTTTTGAAGTCAATTTGACGCCTATTTTTGTGTTAAAAAAGAAGTATAGGTGGCTAAAAAGATATTTAATTATTGTGAAGCGAAAAGGTCTCCATCCATTCTGTTTTAAGGCTCAGATATATGACCATAATGTCAAGGCTTAGTTGGACACATTGTACTTGCTATTAAGTACCTAATTAAAAAAACAAACTGAAATGTATGATTTTACATAGAATATTTGAAAAAACTGTCCAGGAGATTTTCTATGATAAAATATGCAATTTGTCTGTCAACACAGAAGAACTGATGGCATGTGGAAGGTCCCCACACTTTTACCTTTTCCACAACTCAGAGGATATCACCAGGCCAATCATCTCTCTAGAGATTTTTTTGTTTTGTCTCTGTAATTCATGGTTTTGTATTTTGGTATTTTAATTCTGAGCCTTCAGTTGGTTATGGTGTACGGGGGGGAAAGGGTTTTCCGGTACTATGTAAGTTAGGATGTAGATTCCCTGCAGAAGCCTAAATGAAGTCTTAATGTTAGAAGGATATTTAGTGCAGAATTTATTTTATTTTTTTTTTACTAACTATCCTGCTATTTCAGACCCATGCTGTATTCCAAAGCCGCCATGTCTGACTGAACGTGTGGTGGTCATGACAACAGCAGCAAAAACTCATGTTTGTGTGTGTATTACCATGACATTTCCAGACCTATAAAATAAAGCATTACAATTACAAAACCAACATGTCTATATATTGGCTTTTATTGAGGGATCAGTATTCATATCTCCATATAAAGAACAAAGCATGAAAAGTAACAACGGCAAAATGAAGAGGTGAAACCTAAAATGTCATCCATGGCAAGAAATAAAAGTAATAATACTTAAAACCTTCTTTTATCACATAGCTGGGTTTCTTTTTAAAACAATTTTAATCTTACTATCCTTTAATAACGGTGACAATGCACATACTGTATGTCTTGTGATACATAAATGTCTGTTTTTTAATATAGCTGTTTCCATGATTGATGTTCTAGTTCAATCATTATTAAACTGAAATTAAAGTTTTGACAATATCTAAGATATTTTGAAGTTTCACATTCACTGCAAAAGGTGTTTTTCTTGCTCCTGCTTTTAGAATTATGAGAATAGCAAACCCTCATATTTCCTTTATTTATTTTAGAGATGCAGCCTGGGAGTATTATGAAAGATGAATCTGGTTTTTCCTCCTGCTTTCATTCAGGCTGTCGTTCACTGATATCTGTAAAGGTCACTATAGATTGTTGAGTTCCAAAAGGGTTTGGTCCAATACCTGGTGCATGTCCAGATTTTCTTCTTTGGCGTGGGCCAGTTTCTCTAGAGTTGGAAACAAAGACACAAGTTACCTTCCAAGTTAATGTTGTGTCTATGATGAATATCTAAAAAATCGAATTGCTCTCAAATGCAAAGTTGTTATGCATAGTCTTTGTGTAAAAGGTAAATGGACTGGTTCTTATATAGCGCTTTTCTACTCTGTCTGAGCACTCAAAGCGCTTTATACAACTAATTCATTCACCCAATCACACTCATTTACACAAGCACTTCTAAGCTTAAGTGCTAAGTATCTAACATTCATACACATTCACACACCGATGGATGCATCGGAGAGCAACATGGGGTTAGTTATCTTGCCCAAGGATATTTGGCATGCAGACTGGAGCAGCCTGGGATCAAACCACCGACCTTCTGGTTAGTGGCTGATCCGCTCTGCCACCTGAGCTACAGCCAGTGTGAGTTTTACAATAGAATAGTTGAGTCAAATAATAATAATGGATTGGATTTATATAGCGCTTTTCAAGGCACCCAAAGCGCTTTACAATGCCACTATTCATTCACTCTCGCATTCATACACTGGTGGAGGCAAGCTACGGTTGTAGCCACAGCTGCCCTGGGGCAGACTGACAGAAGCGAGACTGCCATTTTGCGCCATCGGCCCCTCTGGCCAGCACCAGTAGGCAAGTAGGGTAAAGTGTCTTGCCCAAGGACACAACGACCAGGACAGAGAGCCCAGGGATCGAACCGGCGACCTTCCAGTTACAGATACGCTTCCCAACCCCCTGAGCCACGGTCGCCCGTTAACAGGTGTTCAAGGATCAAATGAAATGAAAGGAAATGCTCCTGATAAATAAACACGCAACATGTTTTAATTTATAGCCTACTATAGTAAAATAAAGCCTGCTGTACAGCCTACAGGTTATATACAGTAGGCTACGGTATGAAATACAGATTGTTCAATATGAAATATAGATTCTTAGAAGCAACTCAGTACATGCAAAAATAGGACTAAAGTAGTCCTACACACATTGAAATAACACACTAATTTAATGAAAAAGACGGCTAGAATTGCTTTGTATGTAATATTGTCTCCTTTTTGAATGACTTCAATATTCTTCCCCTCTGCAATTCTCTACCTTATCATGGTGGAGGGGTTTGTGTGTCCCAGGGACTACAGTGGCTTGCAGTATTTGGCCCCCTTGAACTTTCCCACATTTTGTCACATTACAGCCACAAACATGAATCAATTTTATTAGAATTCCACGTGAAAGACCAATACAAAGTGGTGTACACTTGAGAAGTGGAACGAAAATCATACATGATTCCAAATATTTTTTTACAAATAAATAACTGCAAAGTGGGGTATGCGTAATTATTCAGCCCCCTTTGGTATGAGTGCAGTCAGTTGCCCATAGACATTGCCTGATGAGTGCTAATGACTAAATAGAGTGCACCTGTGTGTAATCTAATGTCAGTACAAATACAACTGCTCTGTGACGGTGTGATGGACGGAGCAGTGAAGGAAACTTAGGCACAGGTTAAAGTCCAAAAAAATTATTTTTTTTTTATTTAATCCAAAAAACATAATTGGTTAACTCATGCAAAAAGACTCAAAATCTTGGGCCCATAAAAGAGGTCAAAATAACAAAACTCTACTCAAAGTTGACAACAACTGATAACTCAAACAAACTGACCTAACTTAATGAGACAAAGGGAAAACTTTAATAGTGGCTGATCAGCCCACAAAAACAGGAGAAGGGGTAAAACACACAAAACCTAACAAACCAAACATAATGAACTCCAATTCCCCCCCATGGTCCTGAGTTATGGCGTGAACCAATTTGTATTCTTCCTTTAAAGCTCGCTCCGCCCCTTTTCCACCTCTTGGCTCCTTAATCAAGGGACTGGAACAGCTGCAACTAAGGTAACTCAGAAAACAAAAGATTAATCATACATAACAGTGTAAACTAAAATGTGCGCACTTATTTTAGAATGCAGTGTTATGTGGATATGTAAATTAACTCTAAACCAAAACCAGTTATTTATTGTCCTGTAAATTAATTCCTATATTTAAAGAAAGAAATGTGAATGCAATGTTACTTATAAGCCTCTACACTAACATGGTGGGTATTACCACTGTGTGGCTGTAAGTGCAGCCATCACAGACGGCCTCAGAGGTTGTCTAAGAGAATATTGGGAGCAACAACACCATGAAGTCCAAAGAACACACCAGACAGGTCAGGGATAAAGTTATTGAGAAATTTAAAGCAGGCTTAGGCTACAAAAAGATTTCCCAAGCCTTGAACATCCCACGGAGCACTGTTCAAGCGATCATTCAGAAATGGAAGGAGTATGGCACAACTGTAAACCTACCAAGACAAGGCCGTCCACCTAAACTCACAGGCCGAACAAGGAGAGCGCTGATCAGAAATGCAGCCAAGAGGCCCATGGTGACTCTGGACGAGCTGCAGAGATCTACAGCTCAGGTGGGGGAATCTGTCCATAGGACAACTATTAGTCGTGCACTGCACAAAGTTGGCCTTTATGGAAGAGTGGCAAGAAGAAAGCCATTGTTAACAGAAAACCATAAGAAGTCCCGTTTGCAGTTTGCCACAAGCCATGTGGGGGACACAGCAAACATGTGGAAGAAGGTGCTCTGTAGATGACAAAATGGAACTTTTTGGCCAAAATGCAAAACGCTATGTGTGGCGGAAAACTAACACTGCACATCACTCTGAACACACCATCCCCACTGTCAAATATGGTGGTGGCAGCATCATGCTCTGGGGGTGCTTCTCTTCAGCAGGGACAGGGAAGCTGGTCAGAGTTGATGGGAAGATGGATGGAGCCAAATACAGGGCAATCTTGGAAGAAAACCTCTTGGAGTCTGCAAAAGACTTGAGACTGGGGCGGAGGTTCACCTTCCAGCAGGACAACGACCCTAAACATAAAGCCAGGGCAACAATGGGATGGTTTAAAACAAAACATATCCATGTGTTAGAACGGCCCAGTCAAAGTCCAGATCTAAATCCAATCGAGAATCTGTGGCAAGATCTGAAAACTGCTGTTCACAAACGCTGTCCATCTAATCTGACTGAGCTGGAGCTGTTTTGCAAAGAAGAATGGGCAAAGATTTCAGTCTCTAGATGTGCAAAGCTGGTAGAGACATACCCTAAAAGACTGGCAGCTGTAATTGCAGCAAAAGGTGGTTCTACAAAGTATTGACTCAGGGGGCTGAATAATTACGCACACTAGGGCTGGATATATCGAGTTTTTAAAATATCGATATATTTTTCGAGATAATGTGACAATATCGTTTATATTGATATAGTCTATGTTAGTAATTATAATACTATTACTTGTGGGCCGCAAGTTTGCCTCTCTTTCGTCCACTTGTGTCTCTAGCAACGTTACTCTGCCTCGCCTCTCCTTCACTGAACACAACTCCCCCCTCGCCCATCGCTTCACCTGCAGGAAGCGACAAGATGGTACACGGCAATCCCGTTAAGACGAGTTACTGCGCATCAACGTGTTAACGAGCTGACCACGCTAACGCCATGCAGCCCAAAATCCTTTCATTTTCTCAAAAGTTGACAGCGCGCCTTATGTATGAATTCTGGTTGTGCTTGATGACCGCGAACCGATTTTATGTGGTACACGGCGCTCAGCAATCTGTCAAAAAAATGTTTGAGTACGACTTTAGTAAGCTACGGAGCTGCACTGCTTGATGACTTGTCGGAGCATTACGGCTACCGAGGTGCCTCGCGGAGTAATACGTACTGTGTTTCAACGTAATATTACCGTACTGTGTGTGTATAAGGACCATAAATGGCACCTGTTCAGAGTCATGGTTACGAAGCGGATTTCAAACTCCAGGCTGTCAGTCACGCGGTAGAACTTGGGAATAGAGCAGCTGTGAAATCTGTCTCTTTGTTATTATGCTCAGCATCTTTTAGTTTACATTTTGACTGCACAATTGTGAGCTTTTTGTTATGCACAAAAACAACATTGCTTTAGTTTATTTATGGAGCATATTAATTAATAAATGCTCATAATTTATTTTTGAGTAATTCTTTCATGTACATCTATGCTGTATGTTAATAAAAGTGCCTGTGTGACATCTGGGAAACAGCTTTAACTAAGAAATCTCTTTTTGTTCTTACTTTATGGCTTAAAAAATTATCGAGATATATATCTTATATCACCATCCAGCTAAAAAAATATCAAGATATGAATTTTGGGTCATATCGCCCAGCCCTAACGCACACACCCCACTTTGCAGTTATTTATTTGTAAAAAATGTTTGGAATCATGTATGATTTTCGTTACACTTCTCATGTACACTACTTTGTATTGGTCTTTCACATGGAATTCCAATAAAATTGATTCATGTTTGTGGCTGTAATTTGACAAAATGTGGAAAAGTTCAAGGGGGCCAAATACTTTTGCAAGCCACTGTATGTTGTTTGGGGGCTTTTACCCCCTGGTAGGGACTCTCATGGCTCTTTGTCTGGTCCCTGG